CAAGAAGAGGAAGACGACGACAAAATGCACGAAATTCTGTTCAATAAAGACATTTACAAAGAGCTGCGAATTCGTGGCTACGATTACGGACCGAAATTCCAGGGCCTGATTGAGGCGAGAGGTGACGGCCGTCGGGGCAAAGCTAAATGGACGGGTCATTGGGTCAGTTTCGTCGACTCTGTCTGTCATTTAGCTCTCGTCGCTCTTCCCATTCGTACGCTTTTCATTCCCATTGGCTTTCAATCAATACGTTGTGATCCAAACGTGTTGTTTGAGGCCATAGAACAGGTGAAGAAGGCTAAGGAAGAGACCACAGAATTGAACGAAGAAAAGCCAGAATTCTTCTATTTTAGAGAAAACGCTAAAATCAAGGCTTTGGATGAAATCAATCTCGAAGACGATATTAAAGGCACCGAAATAATCGGCGAAATCAGACCCGATATGGACGAGAGTGAGACCAAAGAAGCAGATTTTATGGTCAAACAACAGATTAAAGCAGCGATGGTCGGCGGCGAAGACAAGATGGCGTCCGAAATACTCGGCATCAGTAACATTGGTCTCGAAGCCGATAACGCGGACGACGAGAATATTTCAATACTTCCCGTCTCTTTTGATCTAAACTTTAGATCAATTGTTACCAAAGGTCTGGAGATAAAGGGTTTCATTCCGGTGAATGTCCCGCGAAGACCCGGACAACAGGGACTCACTCTTGAGAGACATGAGTTTATTTCTCATTTCGAAGACATGGCAATCGAGAGTCCATTTAAAGATAATTTGATGGAATATATCTCTGTTTGCTGTTCTTTGGCCGAAAAGGTGTCACAAATCACACCAAATATAAGTAAACCGGTTCTCAATGGCTATAAGTTGGCGGACGAGTCGTTGGTCAAGAAGTACACTGAAGTTCCCGCCGATGACTGGAAAGTGATGAAAGTCCTCAAAGAACTCATTGATCTGAAAGTGGATTCAAATCTCAATATAATCGATGAGCAGAAGAAAGACCCGAATTTGGATAACGCGGTCAAAGAGATACTCCAGAAGAAGGAGAACAATATATCGACAGATTTGATCGATTCTGTGGCCAGTAATGAGCGATTCATTCGTCCATTCGTTGACTTAGTCTTAGAAAACAGTTCCGACAGAACTCAGATCAAAGTCTTGGAGATGAGTCCCAATCGTAGTCTTATGGCTCACCGATTGATCCAGAAGTTTAAGGACTCGTGCATTGGTCTAATAAATGTCGATTATATGGTCGCCAACCCATCGCCGACTGCTATCCCCGAAGAAGCAAAAGCACTGAATTTGAAAACACTTGAATGGGATTTGAATACAAATCAATTTATTAAAGACATCAATTCACTCGATCTATTGGTTTATCGCATGACAAACAAAGTGACCAACTCTTGGAAACTCGAGAATCAGATCCAGGATATGAACGATGCGCTTAAGGTTTGAAAAATTTTATTTCTCTTATAAATCCTTTAAAACTTATTTTAAAGATTGAATAATTGAAACGATTGTATGTTTAGTACAATGGCTTCCTCTTCGTGACGGGACGATCAAAACTGACGCCTCCGGAGACCACTGTTTACGAACTGTTGGGTCAAAATCCAAGCGACGATCTCTTGGCCGCCAAAGAAATGGACAGAGGTCAAAGAGATACTCCAGAAGAAGGAGAACAATATATCGACAGATTTGATCGATTCTGTGGCCAGTAATGAGCGATTCATTCGTCCATTCGTTGACTTAGTCTTAGAAAACAGTTCCGACAGAACTGAGATCAAAGTCTTGGAAATGAGTCCCAATCGTAGTCTTATGGCTCACCGATTGATCGAGAAGTTTAAGGACTCGTGTATTGGTATAATAAATGTCGATTATATGGTCGCAAACCCATCGCCGACTGCTATCCCCGAAGAAGCGAAAGCACTGAATTTGAAAACACTTGAATGGGATTTGAATACAAATCAATTTATTAAAGACATTAATTCACTCGATCTATTGGTTTATCGCATGACAAACAAAGTTACCAACTCTTGGAAACTCGAGAATCAGATCCAGGATATGAACGATGCGCTTAAGGTTTGAAATATTTTACTTTTCTTATAAATGCTTTAAAACTTATTTTAAGGATTGAATAATTGAAACGATTGTATGTTTAGTACAATGGCTTCCTCTTCGTGACGGGACGATCAAAACTGACGCCTCCGGAGACCACTGTTTACGAACTGTTGGGTCAAAATCCAAGCGACGATCTCTTGGCCGCCAAAGAAATGGACAGATTTATAGAGTTGGCCGAAGCGTCGGGTCTTAAACTTGTGGGCAGAAAGAGTGACTCCTATACCACTTCTATCGCTGTATTCAGAAAATTAACGACAGAGAGAAGGGATGAACTGATAGTGAATATACCGAATGGTAATTACGAAGATTGGGTCGAATCACTGAAAACAGTTTTGGCCACTAATAAGGACTCAGAAGAACCGCAGAATATATGGCTCGTCGCCAATGACAGCACTTGCAATGGAGTGATTGGTCTATTGAATTGTCTGCGTTTAGAACCGGGAGGTTCTTATATTCGGTGTCTTTTCGATTACGACCAGAAACTGTCGAAAGACATCGACTTCACTAAAAGCCCGTTCAAAGAGATTAAGGAATTGGATTTGGTGTGCAATATATACAAAGGGGGCAAATGGGGGGCTCAGAGACACATACTGTTGCCCGAAGAGCAGGAGACCATCGACACAGAGCACGCGTACCTCAATGTCGTGACGCGCGGAGATATGTCGAGCTTGAAGTGGTTCGACGCTCACCACAAATACTTCCCTAATCTTCCCGACAGCGAAAAGAAAGAACAGGAAGTGTTGTGTAATGTCTATTACTCTGCCCTCAACTTTAAGGTGAACTTATTATGACAATTGAAAAATGATTGTAATATTAATTGAATATTGTTTCGATAGGATGTGGTGTTAGTGTCGGGTAAGATACAGCCGGGACCGGAGGGCGCCCTCTTTGATTGCATCATTGGCCTGGAGTTCGCGGGCCGTAGGAGTGATACCGGGCAGCGAGTGATGGGAATGGTTCCCTTCAAAGGCATCGCCACAACACTTCTCACTTATAAGGACTACTTGTGGGATATTCCGGACCACTGGTCCATCGAAGACGCGGCCACTGTTCCCGTGGTTTATGTGACCGCTTATTACGCGCTTATAATGCGTGGAAGTCTAGTGGAAGGCGAGTCAGTGCTCATCCATTCGGGCGCCGGTGGTGTAGGACAGGCCGCGATCTTCATCTGCCAGAGTATGGGTTGCGATGTGTTTGTGACCGTCGGTAACGACGAGAAACGGGATTTCATGAAAAGAAAGTTCAATATTCCCGACGATCACATCGGGAACTCACACGACGTGACTTTCGAGAGACAGTTCATGACTGTTACTAAAGGCAAAGGCATTGACGTTGTCCTCAATTCACTCACTGAAGACAAACTACAGGTCAGTTAGCAGTCATTTCATGGATTGTCGGAAAATATGTATTCATTTCTATTGTCATGTTTTTTAGGCATCGCTTCGATGTTTGGCACCGAATGGAAGATTCCTTGAGATCGGGAAATATGATATGCAGATGAATAAGAGTTTGGGATTATTTGCATTCCTCAACAACATCTCCTTCCATGGCGTGGGACTCGACTGTATCTTCCGAGAGGGCCCGTCCTCTAAGAAATTGAAGGCATTTATGAAAGAAATGACTCGACTTCTCAACGAAGGCATCAAAAACAATGTCGTCAAACCCATTGAGAAGACTGTGTTTGGCGTCAAAGAGGCGGAACAGGCCTTCAGATACATGACTACCGGTAAACACGTGGGAAAAGTGCTCATTAAGATTAGAGATGAAGAAGAGGAGAAGATTGTGGTCACACCTAAAACATTGGTCGTGAAGGCGACCACAAGAACGTGGTTCCATCCCTCAAAGGTTTGCATTGGTTTCACAATTACTTCATTTGTAATCCATATTCATTTGACAGACATATATAATTGTGGGCGGTTTGGGAGGCTTTGGACTGGAGTTGGCGTATTGGACAGTCTTAAGGGGAGCCAAGAAGTTAGTGCTCACGTCGAGGACTGGTGTGAAGAACGCCTATCAGAAGCTCTATTTGAAACGTTTCAAAGAGTTTGGACGACTTATCGAAGACTATAAAATCGATTTAACGGTTTCGACAAATAACTTGACAACACTTGAGGGCACACATCGGCTCATAGATGAGGCCAACGCTAAGGGAGCCGTCGGAGGGGTTTTCAATTTGGCACTCGTTTTGAAGGACGGCTTCATTGAGAACCAAACGGCCGACACATTCAAACAGTGTTGCGAACCAAAGCTCGAGGGATTGCATCATTTGGATGAAGTGACTCGCGCTGAATGTCCGCAATTGGATTACTTCGTCGCCTTCTCGTCACTGACCGCCGGTCGCGGAAACTCCGGTCAAAGTAATTACGGTTACGCCAACTCCGGGATGGAAAGGATCTGCGAAGTGAGACGAGCCCAGGGTTTGTACAATAATTGTTTGCTAACTCCTCACTGACTACTGAATGGTAATTATAATTTGTGTCAACCATTTCATAGGACTGCCGGGTCTTTGCATTCAATGGGGACCCATTGGTGACGTGGGAATAGTGGCCGAACAGCTGTTGGCCTCCGAAGAGAAGGCAGATATGATGAAATTGTTTGCCGGTATTCTTCTGCAGCGAATCTCCTCGTGTCTCGACGTTTTGGACCGCTTTATGCAAAGTCCTCACCCGGTGTTGGCGTCGACAGTGAAGGCAGATCTGGAGCACCAATCGGGCGCCTCCGAGGATGAAGTGTTGCAACAGTTGTGCAATCATTTGGGTATTGATAAGCGACCGAATGACGAGACGTTGGGTGACGTGGGTTTGGATAGTATGGCCGCCGTTGAGATCCAACAGCGACTGGAAAGGGATTACGACATCTCATTGGCGTTGTCTGACATCAAGAAGATTACTGTCGGAGAACTGAAAGAGTTTAGAGACGGAAAGAAAGACAGTCTTAAGCAATACGCGGCCGACATAAAGAAGGCCAGATCTAATCTCTCGCAGATTAGGTTTGATATCCCTAACGAACAAACGACTCTTCTTAATGACGTCAAAATCGGTAATTCATTTTGCGTTTGAATTTGCTTTCAATTCAAATGTATTGATAACACAATTGTTTGGTCTCTTCAGGAAAACCGGTTTTCTTTTTGCCGCCAATTGAAGGCATTTTCGAGTCGTTGCGAACTCTGGCCAAAGAGTTGGACCGACCGGTGGTAGCGTTGAATTGGATGAAAGCTATGCAGGAGTTGAAAGACATCAAAAAGGTTGCCCTCTATTATAAGGAGAAACTGAGACAATTGGCTCCCGAAGGCAACTACGATATCGTTGGCCACTCTTTCGGCGCCGTTATTGGCATTCAAATGTGTCGCAAGAAAGTGGACATAAAGTCGTTGACATTATTGGATCCGTTCGACCCGACGGGCCTCCAGAACCACGACTGGAATATCGACGAACGGTTCGAAATGGTGTTCACGTATCTGAAGGCCTATATTCCCGAACGCATCATAAACCAGATCCAGAAGGACGTGATGGAGATCAAGGGCGAACAGGCGCGCATCACCAAGCTCATCGAACTCATGAAACACTACGGCGGCAAACACTTGCACGGCAAGGATGTCGACGACATCATCCGCGGCTCCTTCGAGAGGGCAGATATGGTCATCAAATTCAAGAAGAGAAACATCGAGAAAATGAAGACACTATCGCAGACCCACTCCACGAAAGTGGTGAAGAAGAAGTTGAAACAAGTGACTACTGATGTGTCGCTCATCAAACTGCTGAAGAAAGAGGAACACTTCCAAGTGATTCAGGAAACTGTGCTCAACAGCTATGGCTTCCGACGAGAGGTTACCATTCAATCCATTCTTTTCTTTTACCTTAAGATGAAATTTGTTTTGAAATTTTTATTAATTAATTGCCATTTGTTTCTCAATGTTAAGGACTTTTTGGGTCGATTTGACATTTTCACTGTATTGGGAAGTGAGGCCGACTTCTTGAGCACACATTTACCAAAAGTCACTGAAATTATTTCAAACAAAATAGACAACCGATCATAAAATTAATTGTTAATTATTATTATTATTATTCTAATTATTACATATTATTATTATTTTAATTATTGCTTTTTTATTATTGATATATCAGTGAAAGTGATGTGATTTTTACATTTTTTGAATAATTGAATTAATGAAAGAGACTCTTATATTGGATATAATTTTTACTCTATTTTATTACAATTTATTTTATATAACTTTTTTATCATTTATTTGTCGCACAATTTGTTGGTTTTTACTTTTTTTATAACTTTTTACAACATTTTATATACTCTGAATAAATACTCTGTTTTTTGTTAAATTGCTTTCTTATGATTTCGATGTTATCAAAAAATCACAATTCATATGAAACCTTGAATTTGGGTTTCACTCACGGAAAGGGTTGACCATAGCGTCAGAGGCGGGCATTTGTGGTCATGTCTTGTAGACAATGTCACACTTTAGACGTGATATGAATTCACTGCAAAACAGTTCATCCAAAGCAATGCTAACAATTGAGTCAACTTTTAAATACAAAATTTGTATCCAAATACAACAGATTTCATCCTAATTTCTGTTATACTATAGTGTAGTAACTAATAGTTACTAACTATACGTATATTAAACTATTTTTTAAATAATTTTAATTATTTGTTATAAAAAAGTAACTTTTATTTCATCATTACTGAATAACTTTACAAATGAATTCTAACTGTAATCTCAGATCAATCAAAATGTGGTACAAAAACATTATTTTAATTTTGATATCATTTCTATTGTAATTGTATTGATATCTGTTTTAACGACAAAACAATGTCTTTTCATAACAAATGTATTATTAAATCTATATTTGAGGCACAATTTGAATGAAGACATGCTTTGGTTTGACATTCAATACAACCATTGATTTGAAATGTGGACCAAATGAGAGGACAGTGTCCTTCACTCGCGAGGGAAGTGTCGATAACAGCAAAAATAAGACAACGATTGACACCTTTTATAAGCCATGAATTGAATGATAATAATTGTCCACAAAATGAATACATAAGAAGTGATGACTACTTCTTGAGGAAACCGATGCGCTCGTGAGCGGTCAGGTCTTTGGCTTTGGGTTGGCTTTGGGCTGAGGCTGTGCTGGACGTGGACTGTATTGACTGCACTGACGGGTCTGTAGTGTTGGCAGCGGTGGTGGTGTTGTGTCTGAGTCTGTCCTCGACCTCGCGTTTGATGGCCTCGTATTCAGACAAGTCGTCTAACTTGAGCTCAATTCTCGTCGCGTCTCTTCTGAACATCTCTTTGCCGTCAATTCATTCAATTTGTTTACATTTCAATCGCTTTCTCCTAATTCTCACGTCATTTGTGGACGAATTGCTTCAAAGCATTCACTTTTCGGACGTAATGTTAAGCCCTGTGCTGTGCTTTGCAGTGAAGCTAACATTTCATTCATGTATTCTTTAAGTTTAACAATAATTTTTGAAAAGTTTTTCTTAACTTTAATTAAATGAATAGAAATTAGAAATTAAATGAATGCTTAAATTTTGTATCATTTATCGACATAAGTCTTCTCTTGAAGAGAGAGA